TCTATCCTTTCTGCTCTCATCCACCTCACACACTAGGAGTTGTGCATCTGACATCACATTTACTTCGCGGCAATAATAAAATCCCGCAATAATTAAAGCTCATTTGGCATTTTTTATGGAAACTTAGTTTCATGAGTGGGGGAAGACAACTATGAAAAGGATCTGCATCAGACACTAATTTTGTGCAATTCTCATTATCAACCTTGATGCGAAGTGGATACCTAACTGATAGGTTGACTGCACCTCGTGTAGTTAAACAACATCGTGACTAGCCGTATGTCAAGTCTGCACGAAACTTTCAAACATTGCTAAAAGGTTTCTATACACTTTTTCCACATCATTCTGGAGCAGATTACTTCCCCCTCGATGCCTTCTGTTCCTTTTCCACATCATGAATTTTCTGTTAGGCTAGTAATGTACTGCTAGCTATTTTGCGTATGCACCGAGCACCGCCTGTGCAATCTTGGTGTTCTTGTCTGTCGCTTGAACGCATGCGTGCATCCGTAGTACAACCATTGGGAAGATATGGATCTATCCACTGACCTGACACATTAAGCAACAATCACTACAACAGCAAATTGGTGCGTCAGAAATAGACTTTCCACACATAATGATGGGTTGCGCCTACCTTGTTCAGAACCAAATGAGTTGCAACCTAGATGAACACTATTTGGTGCCAGCCAAACTTAGCGAACCATCCATTATTTGTTTAACCAAATGTAGGTTGTCCATTAGGGTCCATCAATGCATTCCATATAAACAGTTTTATTTCTTCTCCTTTTGTAATTCTAATAATCACTTTCCCCCAGTAAATTAGAATAGTTGCAGAAATAACTTTTGGCATTTTTATGACGCACAACAAAGCAACCGGATGAATATCCCTATGATCTTTGAAAACGCAACTGCCTATGGGTTAATCTCTTGATCGCATAGCTTGTATGGTATTTAGGGGATCAATATTCATTCTTACCGAATAGATCCCACCAATATGATCACCAGTCTATCAAGGCTAGTGGCTTAAATGCGTGGCAGTATGGCTTAGAATAAGGGCACCGAAACCTGTGCCTCCCCTTGCCGTAATAGGGCAGAACAATTTGCAGCTCGATGTGAAATACACAAATTAATTTATTCCACCTGAATAGTCTTTGCAAATAAGTGTGTTAAAACCGATTCAAGTTGTTTTATTTTTATGGTTAACTAACTCAACAATGCAACGACATCACAAGTAATTTTCATTTCAACTTATCGTGTAGCTGCCAAAATCAACCTAATAATGGTACCTTACATGAAACATCCCATTACTGCCCACACTGCAATCATTATAATGGATGTTTCGTAGTGAGGGTATCAGAAACTGTATAAATCTTGTACTGTGTCACTACTACGCAACCTACCTTTTCTCTTTTCTCGATTGTAGCAAGAATTCACGCTGAATTTGAACATTCCCACGAATCAAGTAAAGGAGTTTTGGATAAACAATTAGTTCACAAGACGTAATGCATGTCAGGTTCATGGACTATCTACATGCCCGTTTATCCGCGATCTGTACTGAAGACATTGGATCATTTTCAGGTGATAGGTCAATAAAGGTGAAGAAACTTGATAAAACCTAGTTCCACAATGTTCCTTACCACAGTCGATTGTACTCTTGTATGGTCATTCTACATTCAGAGTCAGTTCGGCGTATCATATGTAGTTGAGGGTTCGGCATTGGAGCGTATCGACCAGGGATGGCAACTCGACTTTGTTGCGTTTCCGGTGTAAGACCCAACCAGCTCAGGTAGGCATATGACTGAAATTATGAAAATAAACAAAGGTGTTATTGGGCTTTATCTTTCAGATGAACTATATCACACACAATCTCGAACGGGACCACAAACTAAGTACGAATGAATGACGGTGATCTCAGTAAATGCGGTCATGTCCAAGACACCGTCGTTTATGCTAGCACTCACACGCATTGTTGCACTACATGGTTGGCTATGTCCTCGGTGGGGCTCAGCTGCTGAAGAACTCCAGTATGCGATTCGAACCTAGAATCTCTTGACTGCAACACTGCGTTTATTCGAACAGTGGCTATCACGAGTCGCAAAGTCTGCTTGAGACTACAGTTGAAACTCGCCTCTTGATGTCATAATGATGTTGTCTTTAAGTGCGCGGTTTACCCTTCTTAAATGCCGACAGGCTGGGACTCTCTAAGATTGGTTCGGTCTGTTATGAGTTACACAGCTACCCGATATAAGAATTAGATTTTATTGACCTCTAAAACTGTGATTAAAATTCAAGCTGTGTGCTGCTTAACCATCTATTTCAGCTCCTCACCCAGTACATTTCTGGACGGTCTTCAGTGCTCCCTTACTTGCATGAATGTGTAGCTCCCATCCTTTCTGTTCGTAAGAAATTCCCCCTCGACCTAACAGATCCTTCTTTCCTCTTATTATAGTAAGATAGTGCCTCGATATAACTATGTTTCGTAATTTTGAGTACGTTGTGTTGCAGCCTAGAGATAAAGCATCACTTTAAACAGATGTATGACATACCTCAAGTTGAAATTTCAATTCTCGTATCCGCTCAGATATTCGATACATTTTTTGTTCCACTTTCTCCATTTCCGACAGTGATATCGCTACTTCCTTACGGTATTGAGGTAAGGAGTCTCGTGATCGCGTTGTAGTTTCTGCCGGACGGATTATTGACATAACCCGCTTCTTTACTTGCTGTGTAAGCGTTGTGGGTAATGCATTTTTCTCTTTTTGGAGCCCACTTATCATGTTATGAAGTCGCTCTACCCTAAGAAAAACGGAATGATGGCATAACTGTGAGTGACTCTGTAGGTGGCGCTCAGCAAAGTAGCACGAACTAAACGTAACTGAAATGGAACAGGTTGCTACGACAAAAGTGTAAGTCAGCATTATTAACTATAAGCGACACCTAGTCCACCTTGTGGCAAAGGAAATTAGATTTCAGAGTAGTCTTCGGTGGTATGCTCATTGATTTTGTGTTTAACAGGGCTGGCATCCAAGTCCCAGTGGATAATTATTTGAGTGCTAAGATAGCAAGGTTTTAGCTAGTCAGTTTGATAGAATGGTAATAAACTTCTGTGCACATCATGTAAGTGCATAAAAGAACTGTAATGATAGCCGTTTGGAAATGCTTCCATCCTGGGTACTTTTATACGGTTTCGTTAAATCGGAATATATTCACCAACTTGAGGATTAATAAAACATTTTGTTTGGCCTAGTCAATGACCTATCCCTTACCGTCGCTCACAAAGTTCAATGTAAGATATCAGCTGGCATTCCTCAGTTGTTGGCAGTTTTTGGTGGAGTCCATTTGGCAATTCTTCTCCGTTAGACGAAGGCCTGGAAGCAGCAGCGACTGCCGCTTGTGTGATAAGTCCGATTGGATCAGCCTTATTTACAGCCGATTCATGCAAATGCTCGCCTTCAAGCGAAACAACATTGAACGTTCCGTGTTTTAAATCCTTTCTCACAAGGCAAGACGGTGACCCATGATTTTTTAGATTGTTTGTAACTGTAGTCGTTTTAGGTGAGGTGATTTGTGCTTTAGTCAACAGTTGCGATACTGTATCATTCTCACGACTTGGGAACTCGTTTATACAGTTATCGGACAACATCGACCGTCTTCTCTTAAGAACACTCATCCATTGGTGTTTGTTAGTTTTTGGTTTAAGTGCAGTTCGGTCGCTGCTCAAAGGATTTCTCATCGATCCACCTGTGACAGAGTTTGATAGGGATCCGCGAACAAGGCTTCCAACTGGAGTAGTTGTAATCGTCAACGGTTTTCCAGCGACTGCGTCCTCTGTTTTGCGTCTGCATCCTCGAATAAAGAGGCAACAAAGGTTCCAAAAACTACCCTGAGGTCTGTTGTATCTCTCACCCGTTTCGTTAGCTTGAGTTTCCATGTTACCCTCGCTCAAAGGAGTCTCTCCTTGAAGATCTGTATACTCTTCTGTATTATCCCCAGGTCCCACATATCTCCTCTTCAGTGAACCTGAAATGAAACGATAGCAACGAACGTAATGCTCGCTAGGCGGTGGACCACAGCCTTGCTGCTCCAGATTAACAAGTGTACTTCGGATATAGAAACGGAAGCACCATGTCTGTAAACCAATTGTAATTTGTAAATGCTGCATACATTTAGGAAAAACTAGACCACCATAAAATTAATTATTGTTACGCCTTTTTACTCATTGAATCCATTCTGTTAGACTTATTAACCATGCAGTTAGGCACGAACAGATTTGTCATAAAAATGTGGGTTCGCCAAAATGAACATGATGTTTGAAGGAAACTTGTTACTTTCGAGTGTAGCCTTGGAAAAGAGCCACAGAGAAAATGGAATTGTTCGAGTAATTATTGAGGTATCCACTATGTTATATTCAATTTCTCTGTATGTTGAGTTTATCTGAGCTGACAAACTACTCTACTAGTGTGACAGGCCGTTTTAGGGTGATTCTGGCAGAGTTGCATCTGATGGCGAACCTAAGTGACGGTCATGCCTGATAAGGTAAACCTATCGGAAATTTTTAAAATCCCAGCAGCTTGTTGACCAAAATCTTTGATCGTGACTTCTACTTTCTACAAACTTTACCCTACTCACAAACTTCCAACATTAATCTACCATCGCCACTTGGACATTTGAAGGACAGGTACTTCGGTCCATTGGGAAGTGACGTGTGAGTGAACCAATCTGCAACATCAGGACTGGTATTGTGAGCCCAATGGCAATACGTCGCGCACCAAGCAGAAGTCATGTGTTAAAATTTGTGCACCTAATCGTCAGCCCTCGGTAGTTCAGGTGGTAGAGCAGCGGACCGCAAATTCGTGAACCGGGGTTCGACTGCCCGTCGAGGCATATTATTGTGCGCGAATTTTAATCGTGACTTCTACTTTCTACAAACTTTACCCTACTCACAAACTTCCAATATTATCAGACAATCTGAAGCTCCAGACCACTGTATCATACTTAAAGGCAGTCGTTTAAAAGGAATACCCATCACTTAACTAGATAAAGTTTGACCATCTTACACTGATAGAAAGTGTCTTAAGTCTAGATGGACCGTGTTTGCTAACCAATTTCTTCTAGGAAATAAAAATGAGGTTGCACAAACGTATCGGAGAGGAGAATAACGAGAAAAGCATTGTAAAATGTGAGGAGTATTGTGGTATTTCCGACGAACATCGTGGAGAATTTGTGTTTCCTTTTTCACGGTAAAAGTTACTTCTATTAGTGTATATACTTCCTTCAGTATTTCTGCAGACCATATAATTGACCATCATTCCATTCGAGGAGATCCAAAATGGGATCCAAGGTAAGTAACTTTTATTTTGTGTCCATATATACCAAGAATATAGGAGTTACACGGGAAAATGCAGCCTATCAGGAGTTGATGAGAGTGATTTGTATTTACTTGCAAGCTGAAAGTAACAACCTCGCTATACATAAGTTCACGCATGAAATGCTAGTTAAATTCCAATACTGTGATTCTATCGGATGCCCCATGATGCTGTAAGCAGAAAGATCAAAGGTGTTCCTGTCGTTCCATCGAAATAAATGGCAACGACCAAGTTGACAGCTGCATCAGCAGGAGATCGTTTATAAAGAACATTGTGAGTGAAATCAAAAAACATCACTTGTGGCATTTATGCACTGTGCAAATCCCAGGCTTTAAAGTAATTGATTCGGTGTAGTATAAAATTAATTCAACAATGTGGAAAGACTTAGTGAACCATTAACTCATTCAGACACATGTCCCTTTCTAGAATAGCCCTCCGAACTTAGGCGAAGTCTAGTATGAGGTTCCTTGCTGAGATATCCATTTAAAGAAACATCCAGCACTCCTCCTTTGAATGTGTGCGTAAAAAGCCCGCATTCTCTCGAACTCTGCCCACTCACTACTTGCGCACAAGTACGGTTAAAGGCTTCGTTTTTTGTTATAAACCCAAGTTGTAACTGGCAAGATAATATAAAATGAACTTATTCACCTGTCATCATATTCACCCCAAAACCCATCGACATGGAAACAATAATAGCCATAATAATCAGCAATATTTTCAGCATTATTCGTTGAAATAATGGCACTCTAGTGGTAGGTTGCTGCATAATATATTCGGGCTTTGAACCCTACGGGACTGAAAATAAAATCAACTTGGAGTCTACTGGATCCAGTCCAAAAAACGTGCCACAGAGCGCTCAAGTTAAAACTTCTTATACCAAGCACTTAACAGTCCTCCGACCGAATATACTTTCAGCAATAACAATGTACTTAAATGCTCTTTGCCAGATGAGCCGTAGTGCAACTCAATTCGAGTAGAGCAGAATAATCGGTGTTTTACACATTCATTAGCGATGGCGACCAGATTTCGAATCAGACCGTCTCTTAACAGTTTGGTCAATAAGATTTTAGCGAAGTAAGTACCTGGGAACGTCTTTAGCAGTGGATATGATCAATGCGTCTACGCAGACTCTCTGAAAGTGTTAGAGCAACGAATAAACCGACTCTGCTCTTTTGCAACGCTGTTCAAGCCAAATGCTCAATGCTACGGTATTTTAATGCAGCCCAATCTGCCACGCAGTGCATACCAACATCTGTTCACTAGTTAAGCTCATCTCAAGATGTGGACATGGTTGAATTTCATTGTTTTCTGCTTCGGCCTTTGCTTTCTAGAAAACGCTATTGCTTATTGAGACGGACATACTCCGGTTCCGGCTCGCCTCGTGTCCTCACTATAGCAGTGGGGTGGCAGCCGTCGGGGGCCACACATCACTGACGACGGGAGCGTCGAAGAATGCTCATCTCATTCGAACAGATATAATTTCTTCTTCAACGGCAGCGAACGCAGTTTGAAAATTCGCAGCGGCATGTGGTTTAGTTATTGTCACGAAAGCGAAACCTTCAAGAAGAATTTGTACAGGAACCGCCGCTGACATCGCAAGAGACTGAAGCTGTATATCATGCGCTGCTCAACCTAAAACACGACACACAAACAGTTGACAAAACGGATTTCAGAAAAGGACCCCAAATCTGTCACGGTGCAATTCGTGTCTGAGATGTGAATCGGGGAGTGTCTAATCGGAAGTCCCCCTGCCTGTTGGAACTGCGGTCAATGGCAATTTGGGAGACTGTGTGTAAGAAAAGCATCAGTGTCAAAAAGATAATCGCTTTGGTCATTAAAAATCCACTGCGGAGCAACACAGCTTTTCATATCCGTGCTTACTCCAAGGATAAACGCAAGCTCTAAAATCAAAACGGCCAGGTTTCCGGATGCAGCGAAGAAGGTAATCTCTGCGGCATTCCACACCGAATTTTGAGCGAGAGATAATGCCTGACAGTGAAACGCAACTATGTTCCGGTATGGTTGCAGCCAGACACTGCATCTGATATTACAGTCATTTCATGATCAAGATGGGCAAAACCTGGCAAAACCGTCAGTCAACCCTATAAATCTAACGGTCCAAAATGCGTCAGGAGAAATCCTACGGCTTTTATTCGTATTGCACAGCTCCCTTCCTTTGCTTCCTATAAGTCCCCATTGTCTATTGAGGCAGATAAACTGAGGTTCCAGCTCGTCTCATTTTTCGCGCTATCGCAGTGGGGTGGAAGCAGTCTGGCGTGATACAACAGCAAGCATCATGACCATGTCCCATGAATGTATACCGGACTACAACAGAAAAGCCGCCTTAGAATAAGGTATTTCTAGCAAAAAGCACTTCTACACAAATGGCATTTGCTGCTATTCGTTGATTCGCGGCATATTTGTCCCTGGCAGTTAATTATAAATAGTCCGGTTAGTATGTGGAATAAGCGGGATAATTACATCGCACACGAGCCGGTAAAACGTGGTCAACTAAGACTGTAAAAAGTGAAAAGGATTAGAGTTGGAATAATGCCACGGCGCCAAAAAGTCGGTCAGCATTCGGAAAAATCTTGCCTGTGCTATATGATACGGACGCTGTCTTAACATAAGCACAGCCACTGATTGCAACAACTGCTGGACGGTGGTGCTTGACTTGGAGCCATTTATTTATTTCAGCAATCCACAGTTTCTCTATAGAAGCCTAGTGTAGTCTTTTAGATACAATCCAAATTAGAACTAATACCACGCTGGTTGCCACACTGCGCTATTACTAATCCACACTGGTAAGACTTATTGCTCAAATGATGCTTTCAGTCTGTCGAAATTCAAAGGTTTACCTTATATTAAACTTCGTTTAGTACTAAAGTTAACAGTTCAGGTTTGCTTACTGTCTTTGATTCATTCCAAAATAGAGTAGTGGGGTGGCAGATTCTAGCATCCACAGGGGACATATGGAATCCCCATAACCGACAAGTCCCGAAAATATAAACCTACTGCTTAGCGCTTCACCAGACAATTGATGGGCGTCAAGCTGATAAGGTATATGTGATAAATTTAACTTACCTTACTTAAACCCCCTTTGTAGTCAACTGCTTTTAGTGATCCCCTTGGTTGCTTTAAATTCTGGGACAATCACCACATGCTTTCCATACCCAATTTAGGTTAACCGCATTGCAAGCGTCTGTAAGCGAACGAAATGAATCTTGTTCCCCATACTGAGGGCCACATTAAATTCCCATGCTTAGTGAAGTCATTTGAGAAGTTAAAATGAATTGGAGACTTCTTTCCTATTCACCCGAAAACGTCTATTAATACTACCTTGAAGGTTTGAACTGCAATACAACCGAAATAGAGAATGTGAAGTTGTGTTGATGCTACATTAACAAATGGTGCAACAACTCAGGAACAATTTCCAAGGCTAATGGGTAACAGTAAGGGTTGTGTGTTGGCTGACATTTACTTATTTACTTTCGGTAACACATCTACACCCATCTCGATAATGTAGAACCTAAAAATAAACAACTTGTAGGTTCTATACAACTTCCAGATTCACGCTCGAACTTTGCTAACAATTTGAATCGTTCAACCTTATGCAAGGCGAAGATCAATTGTTGTGTAAACCCCTTCGACCTT